AAAATAAGTGATTTCTTTGAAATGTATATATGAATATATATAAATTAAATACACATAATTTAAAAAAATTATAGTATTGTATAAATAACTTATTAATATTAATTATGATATTAATAAGAATATAAAATATTAATTTAATCATACCTACAATTTTAGGCTCACAAATTAAAAAAGTATTATTTAAAAAGAAAACACGATATCATCATATTTTTTAAAATGTGAAAATATTTAATACTTTTCATATATTGAAAAGTAACTTTATAAATATAATATAATATTACTTTAAAAACAATATTAAAATAAAATTAAAAGAAAAAATAAATTCATATATTTAATAATTGCAAATATCAAAATTTTTTTGTAAAAATAATATTTATAAAAATAGTAAAAAGGAAATAAGTAGGAAGCCTGTTTTTTAAATAATGTCAAAATCAAAATAATAACTTAATCGTTCTTCATTTTCCTGTGAATCACTACATATTTCATTAAAAATAAAATCCTAAATAATTAAAAAAAAAATAATTATTTGACAGAATAATTGGTGAAATAATTGTATTTTTAGTAAATCTTTCTACTTTCTAGAAAGATATTTGTAGAAACAAATGAGCAAACTGGCAATCTGGAGTTATGATAGGAGCTTTATCATTATGTGAGTTTACTTGAAAGTAGATCATTTATTGTTCATAATTTATAATTAGTTTTCTATAATATGAACTAAATTTAAAAAGTAATTATTACTTATGATTGTAAATTAAAAAAGAAATTCTTTTAGTTATTTTGAATTATTTTAACATAGATGTATTGAATATTTGATTTAAATTCTTCATAATATGAATATCATAAATTTATATCAAATGAAAGTTAATTTCTTGTTATTCTAATTCTTTGCTTTGAACTATATCATAAACAAAATAAAATGAATACGGGGAAGCTATTACTAAGTTTACAATTTATAGTGAAAGTAGCATACTATTTATAGCTATATATAATTTGATCTAAATTATGATTTGATCTAAATATATAATTTATATAAATATTTTCTTGAATAATATTTTTTTTATAATCATTTTCATTATATATTTTGATAAAAACATAATTATTTATAAAATATATCAATTTCATAAATCAATTATATTTGAAATAAAAAAAAATCAATTTCAAGTTTTCATAATTTTGTAAATATAGTTAATATTTATAATATTATAATAAATATATTCATAGTTTTAATATTTAAAAATTTTTATATTTATCGAATTTTAAATTTGTCATTTAAATTGAATCTAACAATAATCATTAATTTAAAATTTATTAAATTATTAAGTATAATAATTATAAAAATGTAATAATAGTATAATAGTATAATAAAAGTATAATAATTAATAAAATAATTGACCATCATTTATAATTATTATTGATTCCTTTTTTTTATTTTAACTATTATTTTAACTGATTTCCTTTTTATTTTTATCTTATTTATATCTTTATTGCCACAATAGAATATGAAAACTGATAGTGCAGTTGACCATGATAAATGTATG